AGGTTGAGACCTACAGAGGGATATCAACTACTTATTTTGCCAAATAAAATCTAAACACTATAGATATTTACTATCTACATTGGCCATACTATACACACACACACCCCCATCAAACTTCAAAAAGTAAAGAACATTCAAACCGATTTAGAATGGACAGCCCTGGCTGGGCGCGGTGGCTCATGCCTGTAATCCCAGCAATTTGGGAGGCCAAGGCGGGTGGATCACCTCACGTCCGGAGTTCGAGACCAGCCTGACCAACATGGCAAAACCACAAAATTAGCCGGGTTTGGTGGTGCATGCCTGTAATCCCAGCTACTTGGGAGGCTGAGGCAGGAGAATTGCTTGAACCTGGGAGGTGGAGGTTCCAGTGAGCCAAGATCGTGTCACTGCACTCCAGCCTGGGTGACAGAACAAGACTCTGTCAAAAAAAAAAAAAAAAGAATAATGGATAGTCCTTCAAATTAAAGTTAGTGTCTGGTGTATTGGCCACGGTCAAAGACAAATAAGAATAAACAGCTTCGCGTAGAACTGTTGTTATTTTTTAGTTTGCAAAGATCAGAAGAGGAAAAAAATCTTGTCATGAAAACAGAACATAGCAATCAGAGTGCTGGTTCCACAGTACTTGGGTTCAAATTCTACTCTACCACTTATTAGACTCACTAAGATGATCCCCATGAGGCCCCTGGCACAGGGTCTGGCATGCAGTAAGTGTTTTTCTCTTTGCTATGATCACATTACTATTCTGGACCAGCATGAGTCCAAGAGCTTTTATTTGGAAACCAGTGACTTGTCATTCTTTTTTGACCCAATAACCTTGACAGTGATTATTACTACCCTGATTTTATAGATTGCAAAAAGTAAAAAACGGGGACTAAAGCAATTCACCCACAAATAACTCTTTACCTACATTGGTAAACAATGAAGCCAAGGCTTCAACCTGTACTTGTCTCCAAAAGAGCCTTTTTTTTTTTGAGATGGAGTCTCGCTCTTGTCCGCAGTGGCTCAATCTTGGCTCACTGCTACCTCCACCTCATGGGTTCAAGTGATTCTCCTGCCTCAGCCTGCCAAGTAGCTGGGATTACAGGTGCCTACCACCACGCCTGGCTAATTTTCGTATTTTTAAGACAGGGTTTCGCCATGCTGGCCAGGATGGTCTCAAACTCCTGACCTCAAGTGATCCACCTGCCTAGGCCTCCCAAAGTGCTGGGATTATAGGTGTTAGACACAGTGCCTGGCCTGCCTCCAAAAAGATCTTAATGCTTCGCTACCATCATCACCTCTGTCTTCACAACTAAGAATAACCAATCTTCCCAAGAAATATGGCAACAAACTAAACATCTTAGCTGCCAAACAGGAACTAAAGGCAAGACATTACCCAACTTCTTAAGACAAGGGAAAGCAAGTGATGGTATTCAGTCCTGGGATTCCTGGCTGTTTTTTGTTTGTTTATTTGTTTTGAGACGAAGTCTCACTCTGTTGCCCAGACTGGAGTGCAGTGGGGCAATCTCTGCTCACTGCAACCTCCGCCTCCCAGGTTCAAGTGATTCTTGTGCCTCAGCCTCCCAGGTAGCTGGAACTATAGGTGTGCGCCACCACACCCAGCTAATTTTTGTATTTTTAGTAAGGACGGGGTTTCACCATGTTAGCCAGGCTGGTCTCAAACTCCTGACCTCAGGTGATCTGCCTACCTCGGCCTCCCATTGTGTTCGGATTACAGGTGTGAGCCACTGCACCCAGCTCTAGCTGTTTTCCAAGCCCTCAGCAGAATACAGGGTAACATAGATACCTTGTCACTTTGCTTCTAATCCCCATCTACCCTCTGCCAAATAGATTCTCCATAAACTTCACCTGCTTATAGAGCCACAACAGGGTGCAGACAACTGTGATGTCAGCCAATGTCACTCGTTCGCCCACCAGAAAAGTCCTCGTCTTCAAGTGAGCATCCAGCAGCCCCAGAATTCGCCTCACTTCCTCCTTTGCATTCTCAGTGGCCTAGTGATTCAACATGATAAAACTCATCAGTGGGTACCAATCCCTTTCCCTCACCTCCCCAATTAATAGAACTAAGAAGGTTATTTCACCTAGAAGTCTGAGCTCACCCTCACCCTCTTTCAATGGAGACAGACCCTAGGATCATTCTAAATATATCATAAAGGAACTTTAGAGGTCCTCTGGTCCAGCCACCCCCTTTACCATCTGGTATAATCTCTTCACAGCAGCAATCCCTCTTGTGACCACTCATGACAGACACTTCCTCCATCAACTGCCCACTACTTCAAACTTGTACCCCAGAGAGTACGTCTTCTCATTGCCTATATATCCTTGGCACCTTTTTTCAACCTATTTTATTTCTTACTCCCAACACCCAGGAGCTAATGCCACCCCTGCCCCTGGCTTCTCCCAAAGTTCCAAGGCTCACCTGTTTGTTGTGGTGCATGATGCCCAAGGTGGGGAATACCCAGGTACTGGCTGGGGGCACTATGTCGGAATCAGCAAAGCTCACCCACTGCACCACCTGGGCTGCTGCCTCTGGAGTACTTCCCCGCAGCTCCTCATTGCTCACTGCAGAGGCAGAACACAAAGGTCAGAACTCTGGGGGAATGCCAACACCAGTCCACGTCCTGAAGAATTCCTTCATATCCATCCCCGCTCACACCCTCTCCTACACCCTCACCTCCAAATTCTCCCATTCCCATATACCCCTGCAAATTACCATAGTAGGCAATGGCGTTGCTCTCAAACACACAGAATCCATCGTCACCCTCAAATGCTGGAACCTGGGGACAAAGCAGTGAAAAGATAAGGTAAAACACACAAAATTTCTCCCTACCCAATACCAGAAGCCAAACTGCTTTGGATAAAAATACTTATGTAAGACTGACGATCCTCACTATCCAAACTCTCCATACTATCTGATACTCAAGAACCATAAATAAATACTTCAAGAGCTTGGCATCCTTTGCAATCTGAATTCACAGTGTTAACTAGGAAGCACAATAGATTTGAATATTACAAGATATTTGTATGAAATCTCTGAATCAAACAAGCAGAAGACCAAAAGTAACTCCTGTATCAATGTATCAGTACAAGTATTAGTGTGTGACCCAGATCCACAGAGTACTTCATCTCCTCCATTCTTAGCATGTTTTTTCACCTATCTCTGTAAACCCCTTGGGGTAAGAATCCTGCCCATAACAGACAATCTGATATATTTGCACTGAAAATGCTTAGTCAAAACTCATTCTCTTTCCCACAAAGTAAACTCATCAATGTATAAAGTCACAGAATAGCTCTGTACTTTTTTTTTTTACAACTACATGTGAATCTGCATTTATCTCAAAATAAAATCACTGAAATATTGAAGAAAATAACATGGGAAGCTCTCTTTTAGAGATGGGGGCCATCTCCAGAATGATAGAATCCCAGGCCTTCGTTTCTCAGAACCGAAGGACGCTCCCCATCTCCCAACTCACCTTGCCGGCAGGAAATTTGCGGAGAAATTCAGGGGTGCGGTTGGTTTGGCCAAAATGGAAGTGGGGTGGTGCGGAGAGCACGCGGACCTGAGCCCCGCTGTACTGAGCAGCGATGAGAGCCTTGAAGGCCCTCCAGTTTTCAGGATACGTATACAGGGTCTATGAAAGAAAGAGAGGAACAAAATTAATGAGTATTAGGGTCCCAGTCCTAAATGCCACTCCCCAGGATGACCTGCCTGAATAATCCCAATGTGTTCAACTCACCCTTTTACTTTCTCTGGTGAACCAAGTCCTTTAACACTTGTCATATGTAATCAGAATCCTCCGAAATACCAAGAACAGAACTACACACCAACTGCTAAATAAAGCTTGTTGACAGATTTAACCTTCCCTAAGGACACCTCTAGAAGCATTCTCTTTCCCTCAAATCTATCTCCCAAGAAATCCAGAACTTCTAGCTCCATCAGACTCCATCTGCCTACAAACATACTCCCTTCCCTTCACGGAGCCCTCGTTTCATTCATTGATGGTTCCGAGCGCCTGCCTACTCTACTGCTCAGCTGCTCTAAGGCACGCACAACGATCGAGAGATTTCTAGTTCCTCTCAGAGTGGCCAGAGATAGGGGATGGCATGCCTTCTTAAATCAACTCCTCTCCCTCAAAAGCCTTTCTTTCCGTGTCGCGCATACCATCCCTCCGGTCCCGTCCCGCAGCAAGTTCCCCGGCGTTGCCTTCTCTATTAAGCTGGCCAGCGGACTCCCATTGGTCTGACTTCACTGTCCGCAGAATCCTCTCGCTCCCAAACCTCCCTGACAGACTACCTTTAACCGTGCCAGCCGGACCTGCCTACAAAGACCCCCTCTTCACCCTGTCCCCGCTGTTACTCCGCAAAACGGTCACAGAAGTTCGTCAACCTACCCAGATACTACGCCTCAAGGCGGCAATAGAGCCGAACCCCTTTTTCAGGCTTCGGACGGCCCAGATTCGGCATCCCTTTTCTCCTCTTCCCCAGACCCTTCCACCTCTGGCCTCCGAGAGCCCCAGCCTCAGTTCCCCTCCAGGCCGCAGGAACCCTGCTCTCCAGCAGTACGGTCTGTAGACCCAGAATCAGTTCCCCATTCAGCCTCAGAACTCCTCTGACGCCGACTGGCCCCACTCGGGCAAAGGATGGCGGTGGATAGGATGACCCGAACCACCAGTGCCGGCAAACTTACCCCAGCCGCCATGGTGATTCCGCAAAGAAAGGGGGTGGGGTTCTCCGCGCTGCCGCAAAGTAAGCCGCCCAGGAGAGAAAGGAGGGGGAAAGGGGAGAGCCGTGGAGAAACAGCAGCCGGAAAGCGAGGACGACACAGAAGACATACGTACGACAGTTCGGTATCCAGTGGCGCCGAATTGGAAAAAGAACGGGGTGGGTGGGGCCTGCTGGCCAGCGCGGAAAAAGCTCGCGCCTGCGCATTGGAGATCTTGACTGGCCCGCCCCTCAGGTGCAGCGGGCCAATCGGAGTCTAGACGTGGAGGTAGACAGCGTGGAGGGCGGGGAAGCTGTGAGAACCCGCTGGAAAAGCCGCGGGTTCTCGGCTACGTGGCGCCGCTGCTGGCCTGGCGCCGTCAGGCTGCTGGGGGCGTCCCCCTCTGGCCCACCCAGGGACGAGTGACTCGATGGTAGGTTCTCCCAAGCCCCTCATATGATTCTGTGAAACTCATGGGAGCGAGGAACGACTGCTGCGCAGAGGTGGCAGTGTGTGTGCTATATCCTTTAGTTCCTGCTCTGCTTTTCCTCCAGAAAGGGATGAGTGTCTAACAGGGGCCCCGGTCTGAACCCGCCTGCCAAAGTGACGTTTGCTCACATCTAACCCCTTACAGCTCCAGGGTGCTGTTATTGCGAGCAAGGGCACCGGCCCTCCGGCCCGAAGCAGGGCAGGGACACGAGGGAGAACGCGCCCTGTCCCTCCCACCTCCTCCGGACTCGGCCCCTGGAGGGGCTGACGCTGGAAGACCCGACATCGTCGCTTCTGATGTTCATGGCTTTTGACTCATGTTCAGGTTTGAAATCTCTTACCCAGTTTAAGAACGGGATGAACTCTCCTCGTTTAAAGGAGAGAATGAAGAACCCTGAACGCAAATCTCCATCCTTGTCCCCATTAATCTGAGGCGGCAGGAAGAATGTGGAGGCAAACCTGGCTCTTCTCAGTACTGTTCCAGCCACCCACCGCTCTGCCATTCAGGAACTCTGCGCGGGTGCCAGGTGCCACGCACGGTGCTGCCCCCGCACTCCCCGCAAGCTGTGCGAACTGTAGGAAGGAGAGGCTGCTGGGGTGGAGAGCAGTAGGGAGAGACCCATGTTCGGGGTCAGACGAGAGCAGCTTCATGAAGTTCTGGGGGAGGCGAAGCATTATGACCAGATGGAAATGAAAGGAAACGGGAGACTCTGTATTAATAAACTAGCAGCTTTATTGCCCTTTAGGGGCCATGTCTTCACTTCAGATGTCTAAGTGCTTGAGGGAGGAAAACCTGTAAGAAATGATGGAGATCAGGGAACAGGCCTTGGCGATCCTGGAGCGGGGTCACAGTGAGCATTCGGTCAGCCGGGGAGACAGACGCCACAAAGCTCAGCAGGGGCTCAGTTTCTGGCCTCTCTTCGCCACCACTCAGTCCTCTCAGCTCCTGGGTGACCTGAGCCTCAGTTGCCAGCCACCCTGCTCCTGTGCCAGCACCACCTCCGGCTCCTGCCTTGGTTTGCTGCTGCAAGCGTCTACGGGCTCGCCGCCGTCCCTGCCACACTCGGTGCCACAAGGCACAGCGCCAGCTCACTGAGGAGGGCAGAGATGCCCCCTGCCCTGCCTCACCCTGGGACCCTTCTTGGGCTGCCTCATGTCCCTTGGGCCCCCGCTCTGCCAGGGCCGCATGGCTGGGCTGCCCCTCTTCTCCAGGGGCTCCATGCTTTCCAGTCATCAGGGGCAGCTCCCCTGGCTGCCCAGGGCCCTGCATGGCCCAGTCCTGCACCATCTCTCCAACCTCTATAACCATCTCTTCTACCCCGTCCCCTGCACATCCCTGCTGCTCCTCTCTCCCCTCCTCACAGCTCTTTTTCTGTCCATCTAGTTTCAGTCTTTTGCTCGTCCCTCCCTGAGCAGACTCCCCAGTTCCACCTCCTTCTGACCGCGGTCTCTTGGTTCCCTGTTCTATATGGCACCCCAGTGCTTCCCTGAATACCTGCACCAGGGCAGCAGTGAGCTGGGTGAAGGGTGCGAGGGGTAAAGGGATCGGAGTAGCAGAGAGTAGGGAGCTGGGGGAGCTGGGCTGCAGAAGAGGGAGCAGCCCCCAGTCCCGACCCCGGGAGGAACGGCGCTGGTACTGGAGGCTTCGGCAGTAATTGGCTGCCGCTCGGCAGCAGTTCTGTAGGCGTCCAGCCACCCGGCTGGTCACATTGGCTGCGACATTGTGACTCAGGTCAAAAGGGTCCTGGAGATTCATGGGACCAAGGCGCAGACCCTCCCAGAGATTAGAGGGCAGGCCCCCTGCCACAGGCAGTGCCTGACCCTCCCGCAGGGACAGCAGTGAGCCACGAAGATCCCAGCAAGATACACAGGAGAAGAACTGGGCTAGCAGGGAACCTGGAGGAGGAGGAAGAGTGGGGAAAGGGAGTCATTTAGAGGCCAGAACTGACACAGGTCCTGCACCACAGCCATTTCCTTAGCAGGACTTTCTTTTCCCCTTCCAAGGGGCTCAGCAGAGTCCCAGGAAGATAGGCTTCTCTGATGCCTATAAACAAGAGGTCAGACCTCTCTCCCTGCCCCCACATGATTTCCCTGCCCAGATGCTGCTGCTCCCTGCTAGCCAGTGTAACCTTGGGCAAGTCACTTAATTGCTCCCAAACATGGTTTCTTCATCTGTGAAACGGCAGTAATAATATTAGGTATCTCACAGGTTTTCTGTGAGAACCATGCCTGGCACACAGTGTGATATATGTTACCTACTGTTGATGAACATCATTACTAGTCCTCTACCTGGCTCCCCAAACTCACTGAGGGGCTCCACATTTGTGCTGCGCTCCAGTCTTGAGGCATCCCTGGGGAAACTGCAGTCCCAGCCATCGACTTCCACCTGCTCCCCCTCTCCTGTGAAAGTAAAAAAGTTGAGAGTCAGTCTGGAAGCAGGGAGATTGAGGGTTGGGGTAGAAATGGGGGTGATAGCAGAGATCTCATTCCCAGAGTTGCTTTGGTGTATCTAAGTGTGATGAAGAAGAGAGGAAGCTAACAAGATGGAGAGGGTGGAAGCTAGGCTGAGTACCTGCTTTCTGGGTGAGCTGGGATACAGTGGGCAACACAGGAGGGTCCCTGGTCTGAAGAAAATATATCACCAGCAAGGTCAGGGCGTAGTTACTGAGAAGAGGGCCACTCCCTGGGTAAATAAGCAGTAATTCCAGTTAGATCAGAGGTGCTTCGAATCCCCCCACTGGCAGTTTTCTCAACCTCAGTGCCCATTCTGACCTCCCTTCTCTCCCTGAATCCCTGCCTTTGTCCTGACTCAGCCCCAAGTCTGTCCTGATTCATTCTCACCTGAAAGCCCCCGACCCTGAGCCCAGCAGCGGAGGGTGTACACCAGGGGCCGGACTCGACCATCTAGCTCAGAGACGAGACTCAGGAAACGGGAGTTATGCAGGGCCAGCCTGGGATGAAGCAGGGACAAGGTTGTTAGGGCTTGGGGACATCAGAACCTACCACCCCCAGCTTTCATTCCAGACTTGCATAACTGGGGCCAGCTGGAATAAGGCCAAAACAGAGTTTCCCCAAAGGTTGTTCAAACACTGATCTTGTGAGACAGTGTGCAAAAAGACAAAGGAGTTCGGGAAACACTTCATCCTGTACGCCCATCCTGGACATTCACAGCACATTATTCTTAACACTGCTTTTGAGCCATGGTCACACCACTGCACTCCAGCCTGGGTGACAGAGCAACATCCCATCTCAAAAAAAAAAAAAAGACTGCCCAGAGCCTTTACTATGCAAAGAAACAAAGACAGGAAGGGAGAGAAGAAGGAAGGAAAGGAGAAAGAGAAGGCAAGGCAAGGGGAGAAGGGAGGAAATGGAGAAAACTTTTTGCATCTAATTTTGAATTTCCCAAATTTATTCAACCGCAGAACTCTTTTCTACATCCCTTGAAAGTAGTATTCTAAGGAACACACTTTACAAACACTGAAATGGAAGCCAGGCAGGAGGAGACAAGGGACAGAAAGAGGGATAGTCCCAAACAAGGACAAACTTGAGACTTGGCAGGTGCAGGAGTTTCCCAAGCCAGACTCCCTCCTGGCGCACCCCAGAATTCTCAGCCGGCCTGCCCCAAAGAAAAGTATGGTGCCTCACGCCTGTAATCCCAGCACTCTGGGAGGCCGAGGCAGGCGGATCACCTGAGGTTGGGAGTTCGAGACCAGCCTAACCAACGTGGAGGAACCCCGTCTCTACTAAAAATACAAAATTAGCTGGGCATGGTGGTGCATGCCTGTAATTCCAGCTACTTGGGAGGCTGAGGCAGGAGAATCACTTGAACCCGGGAGGCGGAGGTTGCAGTGAGCCAAGATGGTGCCATTGCACTCCAGCCTGGGCAACAAGAGCAAAATGTTGTCTCAAAAAAAAGAAAAAAAGAAAGATACCGGTTACTGAGGGAGATGTCACCGTGGAGACCTGAAGGCCGATGACAGAACTTGACCACAGGGCGCCGGGCGGAGGGCACAGTTTGGACTCGATACACCCCAGGGACACAGCCCCGGAGAATGGATCCCACCAGCTCCAGCATTGCTGCCCCTTCTGCTTTCTCCCGCTTTGGGGCCTCTACTAGTTCCAGGGCCTTCCCCAGGTCCCCCTCTCCCCTATCCTCCAGCAGTGGTGAGGCTGGAGGCAGAGACTGGGGAGAAGCAAGGGTCTCAGAGGCCAAGGCAGAGTCCGGGGTTTGGGGTGCCAGGGAGGAGGAAGGGGTTTCAAAGTCCAGGGCTTCAGAATCCTGGGGAGAAGCTGGAGATTGTGAATCTGGAGGGGAGGCTGGGGTGCAGGCCAGGGCTTGAGGGTCCAGTGGGGAAGCCAGGGCCGAGTCCAGCGATGGAGATTCTGGAGCCTTTGGGACTGGCTGTGGACAGAAATGAGCTGAGTGAAATGCTTCTGCTGTCCCCTAAGCAGAGAACATCTCTATCCCCAAGATAATATCACTTCCAGCTTATTCAGCCCTATGCTAAGGGCTTTATACATATTAACTCATTTAATCTTCACAGCAACCTTTTTTTTAATTTTATTTTATTTTTTATTTTTTTATTTTATTTTTTTTTTTTTTGAGACTGAGTCTCGCTCTGTAGCCCAGGCTGGAGTGCAGTGGCCGGATCTCAGCTCACTGCAAGCTCCGCCTCCCAGGTTCACGCCATTCTCCGGCCTCAGCCTCCCGAGTAGCTGGGACTACAGGCGCCCGCCACCTCGCCCGGCTATTTTTTTTTGTATTTCTTAGTAGAGACGGGGTTTCACCGTGTTAGCCAGGATGGTCTCGATCTCCTGACCTCGTGATCCGCCCATCTCGGCCTCCCAAAGTGCTGGGATTACAGGCTTGAGCCACCGCGCCCGGCCACAACCTTTTTTTTTAAAGATAACCTTTTAATTCTATAAAAGGTCTACCTCTGCAAAAAATGTCATTATCGCGAAAGACAAAAACAGAGGAATTATTACAAACTAAAGAAGACTAAAGAGAAACCATAACAGTCCATTGTCAGGACAGCTGACCAAATTAGAGTATGGAATGTAAAGTCTAAAGGTTTACATTTGTATCAATGTAACATTTTCTCAACTTGACAATGGTACTGTGGTTATACACTAGAATACCTTTGTTCTTGCATAACACACATTGAAATATTGAGGGGTAAAGGAATGTGATACATGCAACCTCTCAGATGATTCAGAAAATATAAATAAAGTGTGTGTGTAGAGAACGACAAAAAGAATGATAAAACATTTAAAAACTCCTGTTGCGGGGGCAGCAGGCATATAGGAACTCTACTTTCTGCTCACTTTTGCTATGAATCTAACACTGCTCTAAAAAATAAAGTCTTTTTTTTTTTTTTTGAGGATGGAGTCTCAATCTGTCATCCAGGCTGGAGTGCGGTGGCACGATCTTGGTTCACTGCAACCTCCGCCTCCCGGGTTCAAGCTGTCTCTCCTGCCTCAGCCTCCCAAGTAGCTGGGATTACAGGCGAATGCCACCATACCCGGGTGATTTTTCTATTTTTAGTAGAGACGGCGTTTCACCATGTTAGCCAGGCTGGTCTCAAATTCCTGACCTCAGGTGATCCACCTGCCTTGGCCTTCCAAAGTGCTGGGATCACATAGGCGTGAACCACTGCACCCCGCCAAGTCTATTTTTTGAAAATAATAATAGGCTGGGCATGGGGGCTTATACCTGTAATCCCAGCAATTTGGGAGAATGAGGCAGGAGGATTCCTTGAG